CCCCAAAACCCCAAAACCCCTTCACGATAAATAACGAAGAAATATGTGATTCAAATTATATAATAGAATAAAAAATAAGTTTCTTTTCAAACGAATTACTCAAAGCTCTATGGATAACTATTACTTTTAATCCTTCAAAGAGAGGACAGAATTTGGAGATATCAAGGTCAAACAAGGCATCATTAAAGCCTTTCCTAATACTTTGCAAATAGAAAGCAATTTCATGCTAAGTCATTGTGATGATTCACAGAAAACTTATATAATAATCAAGAAAAACCTTAAAATTCTTAGAGTAAAAGAGGCTTGTCCAACTCAAGTTCAAATACTTTCATCTTCTAAGAAAACGTTAGTCGTTTACAAACATTTGATAAACACTCTGCTAATTTGCAACAAGAAAAGATATTCAAGTAAATACTGCAGTATAAAGATCTAAGCAAGGCCTCAAGTTATTAAACTTAACAAAGGATTTTACATCTTCTGGTTCAAAAATTTATCCCAATTGCAAATAATGAACATCGAAAATCATACAATAGAGCAAAACATATTTTTATAGCGGAATGAGAACTGGCTTTAAGTTACTAAAGTTTGCAAGAAATCTGAATTCTGCTACGAACTTTGTCTAAGAAATAATAAATATATTGCTTTCTATGATCTTGACTTATTAACTTAGCCGTATTCGTTTAATCTAACTTCTAAAATTGAACTATAGCAAAAAAGTAAACTTACACATTTATCCTTAGTCAACTAGAATCATATTTGCAACATTTAGAATGATTATATGAGTGAGAAATATCTTAGTCTTCAGATAATAGATAGAACGAGTTAAGATAACAATTCCAAAATGGTTGAATTCATGGCTGATGAAAAAATATAGCTTTTGAATTAGAAATAAGCTAGAAAAGGCGATTAACCAATTATCATTAAATTATCACAAAACTAGCTAGGTATCTTAACTAACATTGAGAAATCAAAATTTGACTTTAGCTTATTCAAAAGGCTTAACTCTATTAATCAAATTCTTAGTTTCAATAAGAACTGTGCTATTTATACCTAGGAAATCAGAAATCAATTTTTGATTTATATCATTAGAAAATTAGATGATGGGAGAGCCAATATATGGTATATTAACATTCCTAAGAAAGTAATTGATAATATTCTATAACAGATCGGGAATAATCTTTGATTTTATTTTGATTTATTTTTAGTAAAAAGACACGTAATTAAATTCTGATAAAAAAGCAATCTTAAATTAACATTACCAATTTGCTATTTTCTTCAATTTTTTTGATCTTGGGGTTTTGGGGTTTTTGGGG